CATATCGCAAAAATAGAAAAGTGGCTTCAAACAAAACAAATGAAAGCAAATCCCGATAAATGCAAACACATTACATTCACACTGAGAAAACAGAAACTACCAAACATTGTACTAAACGGCACACACATAATACAAATAAGGCAAGTCGAATACCTAAGACTCCACTTAGATACACGACTCACATGGAAACAGCATACTAAAGCAACAATAGACAAAATACAGATGGCAAGGAGACAAATGTACTGGCTAACAAGTCGAAAATCCAAACTAAGCATAGAAAACAAACTAAAAATATATAAAATGGTCATAAAACCAATCTGGACATACGGAATAGCACTATGGGGAACAGCAGCAATGAGCCATATAACCAAAATAGAGGCAATGCAATCTAAAATACTCAGAACAATAGCAAACGCGCCATAGTACGTTAGAAACGAGGACATTCGGAAAGACCTGGGAATACCAACGGTCAGACAGCGGAAACGGTCGGAGCATCAAACATAAAAAGAAGATTAAAAAGGAAACACCCAACAGATCTCACAAAGGATATAACCTAACAAACAAACACTCACCACACTAAAGAAATAAATCAATCAAATTCGAAGATGGTATCCCACTGGGGGTAGCCATCTACATGTTATATTATTATACCACTAAGCTATAATATTTTACCAAATGTCCTACTGGACAAATTGTAAAATGTAAAAAAAGAAAAAGAACTCTCGGTTCATATCTTACTTGCGATTTATACCTCTTGCGTTTGCCTCCCGTTGACGCACCTCCTCCGCGATCGCGTCTCACCGCGAACGGTCAAACAAAGAGAAATCATAGGAGGCACACATAAGAACGATAACACATAAGAAATCCTTTCGTAATTCATTTATTATAATTGTAAATCATTTAAGGGTTAGTTACACAAATTGGAAACATTAGTCGTACGTTCGAGATTCCAGACTCGCTCCAGAACGTTAACAGAACGATACATTGTTTCGTACTTCCCCCGCGATGTCGATTGTCAATACACCATATTAGATAGAAACCCTACATTTAAAATCCCTGTAAACACCCCTTTTTTCACCTCTCATCATTCATCTGTATATAATTAATAATCATTCGATAACGTTTCGTAAATAAAATTTCATTACTCGATTCGATAAACTTTCGTCTTTTCTTTTTTCCCACTGCTAACATTGGTTGTTCAGTCTTTCGAGCGAAAATTCACACATCTTTTCATACCTCTTTTCTCTGTCTTTTCTCCTAATATAGTCTTGAACAACGACATTCTTTCGATACTAACCCTCTTGTCCCGCTTTGATTTCTTTTTCGATTCGAGATCGGGGAGGAGTCGAACTCGTAGGGTACACGGTTATTTATGGTACAGCGATATTTACAAGGTGCTTACGAACAAGAGATACTTACAATAAAATCTCGTCGATTTTCGTTACACTCTTACACCCATTTCTCTCTTATTCCTCTCTTTCGTCTTCTCACACATTCCATCGTAAAGTTCATTTCTCGCCACTTTTCATATAAAATACTCGGTAAATTTCGCAAGAAGCAAGTCCTTTTAATAGGTACGTGCCACTCTCACACATTTCAATGAGATCTGATCGGTTTGATCCATTTATCGATCTGTTGAAAATGAGCAGTTACTCCGTATTTTGCGTGCATTATTCGTGATACGATATAAAAAATAGTTATTGATGACAGTTGATGACAATTATCGTTTTAAATAACAATTAAAAATATTAAACCCACACTGTAGTTTTACATGCAAGATTTTACAACAACGAATTGTACTCTTTTTTTCCAATTTTGACATGTATGAAGTTTCCTGTGAATAATACAAATACAGAGATCTTTTCTGCCTTTGGAATTCATGCTGTTTTTATTCCGCAACGTTTAATCGTGGAGCGATCGATCGAACCGATCGAACAATTGAAACAATAAATACATCCTATCACTCTGGAACGTTCAAAAGTTTCCATCGAATCGAACTACATCCCTGACTCCTTCCACAAATACTAAAACTTGCTCGACTGCTGTCAAACTTTTTCGCCCCTCGCTTCCAGTTTTACATTCGTTCTACGTTAATGAATACGTATGGCGTGAGATTTATGGAAAAACAGAGCGAACGTCTCGTGACGTTCTCGAAATAACAAGCTACAATTTCAGATAAATTATTTTACGAATCTTTCGAATTTGTCTAAAAAGAATTATGGAAATTTCCTTATATAATCAAACATTTAAACTTCAACAAATTTCTGCATACATACACAAGTCTTTAGAATTTTTTCTAGTGTAATTTTGTGGTTGGTGATTTTATGAATTTTAGTATATAATAATATATTTGTAGAAATAAAATAATGCGAAGCTTTCCTTATACAGCCATTTTGCCGATATATCATAGGAATTAATAGTTATGTTACGATTCTTCAAACCATAGTATGAAAGACGATTGTATGGATCTAGTAATTTCATGATCAAGATTTTCGGAAATTAACCGAAATACGGTGCACATTTTCTCGAAATTAATACCGCCATATTATCTATCTCAAAATTTAAAATCCCATGATGTATCATATCCGAATTCTCCCCAATTTCAACAGAGTCATGAACCTTCCTATCGCATGTTCCCCATCACGGAATGCCGTTTCCGACTGTCATGGCAAATCACGTTGTGCTCCGTTCCATCTATGCATTACACGGAGCACGTGTGTTCTGCTAACTTCCTTGAAAGATCCGTTTAACAGGAATTTGCATTTTATCCGCAAAGTCAGTGACGAGCACGTAATCCTTTTGGAAGTGCTCCTCGCGAAGTGATATCAGGCACTCCGCTTCGAACAAGTCGCCTCGACAATAAAGTAATTTGAATCGCTCAGGAAGAAAGATCACGAAATAGAAAAGAAACATTTCATAAAGAAACATGGCGACGTTTCCTTACTTTAAAAAATTGTGTTATTGAATTATTCCAAAATGACTTTGTAATTTTTTCAATAAGCACGTTTTGCTATTTAAGATGCATTTTGTAGTTTATTTGGAGCTGTGGATCTTGGAGAAATTTACTCAATCTTACATATAATAGTTAATTTAGTAGAATTACAGAGAAAAATGAAAAATTGTAAATTAAATGTTCTTAAAACCTATTATTACATTGAGTATTAAAGATCTATTTTATTGAAGATAAACTCTCAAACAAATATAGACATACATGCTATATATCGTGTAATTTTTTAATTAGGAGATTGGTTTCTTTGAAATGAAGATGAAGTTAAATCGTGTCTTTATTTCTGAGCCCTATAATCACACACCTATCGATCGATGCATTAACAATTTGTCTTTGGTAGGATTTTGCACGCTTTCTGAGTTGGATGTAATGGTACATGAAATAAATAACCTGCGCAACGTTTAATATATTAATAGAAACAGTAATCATACTTTCAAGTAAAATATAAAGAGATACTATTTCTCGTGTTGATGCTCCTTGGTAATTTATAACAATATTATTCACCTAAAAATCACCTAAAAAGTAATTATAATCAATTTTAAATTATTCTATTATTAGGACAAATATTCTTAAAAAGTAGTATATGTAAGTATCTTAAGCAAAATAGAAATAAAGTTAATCTCTTTGGTAGTGTTATATATTTAAAAAAAAGATTAAAACGTAAAAACATTAAGTAGTTTATGAAGTACTCAAAAAATTAGTATTTGCATAAATAAATAGAAAGCAAATCGATATTAATATATGCTACTACTGCATCGTGCGCGTTACACAAGAATTATTTATAAAACCAGAATGTTTATTGAATATCGAGTGCGTTACGTGAATCTATGATATTAATCCTTTCATACTCTGCACATCGATACATCATAACGTTTCATTGAGTACCTATATTCTGTTTCATATCTTTCATTCCGTTGAGCCAGTACCAATGGGACGTTTTCAACCCACGGCAAATTACTTGAAATTTATCCTCCTGCGCGCGTGAAACTCGATCATCAGAATGATTGTTAATAACAAAACAAGAAACAATCAAATTCATTTACATACCATATATAATAATACGCATCGAATTATAAAAGACGAGTTGTGCGAATAAAAAGGAAATCGTTTGATTTATAAATAAATATTTTAAATGCAATATCCAGTGAAATAATAAAACATGGAATAATAATACACTTTAAACTTGACTATGTAAAATCGTATCTCCTCTACAGAATATAATATTAAAAGACACAGTTTTCTCTGGAGAAGAATCTTCCTAATGTATGAAATTTTAAGAGAACCTGACAAAAGAGGTTCTCAAACGTTTCTCCAATCTGAACCAAATTCATAAAACAATATACACATACTTCTACTACATTAATACAATTTTCTAAATTAATCAAAATTTGATTAAAAAAGAGACATAGATATTAATTAAATACGCAATAAAATTTTTGTTAATCCACCTGTACCATTGTCTAATCGACTTATTGAACTTTCATGACGATGAATCAGAATAGAATACGTATTTTTAAGAAAGTGAAAAATTCTGTCAAGTTGAAAAATATGGGAGGATCGAGCGATGGAAGAAAGAACGTGTAGAAACGCGAAATATTTGAGAAGTGAGAATAAAAGGGAATTAGAATTTTCCTGGAAACCAATGCGACTCGCCACAATCCCGCACGAGTGGCTTAATTAAGCCAGACCAATTAACAACACGGCCATGGTAGGTTATATCTCCATCGCGCGATCTAATCAGCAGAACAACACGGATTTCTTCGCACGCCTTTCGAATTAATAATTGATTAGCTCATTGATATCGTGTAGGTACTTAACATAACGCACATGTTTTTCGAAAGTATCAGAACTCAAAATAATTCAAACGATCTTGGATTTTAACAGTTAAGAATGAAAAATGACAGAAATTTGATCATCGTTTTATAGAGTCTATATTTCTTTCTTATTATACCATGTATTTAGTAAATAATTATTTTCTAAGCTTCCATTTTTGGTATGTTATGGTAGTTTAAGCCAGCAAAAGTAAGCCATTTTGTAGAATTAATTGCTTGGTACAGATATTTGATTATTGTTTATTGCATGATCTATTGTTGGATTCAACCAGTTGTAAAATCGTTTGTTGCACAAAAAGTTGTGTGAACTGTTCCATTCTTGTTACGGGGTACATTGTTATAGTCGGCCGCTTAGTCGCGTGAGAGAATCATCTTTCTCGAAATATGTTTCGACGATAGAAATAAAGCTTGAATTGAAATTGGCGTATTGAACTCTGAGACTAAAATGTGTTTATTTTAATTCCGTTATTGCCAATGAGTATCATGCTTCATTTTCACCTCTTATACTTTTAATACGAATGTCTTGGTCGAATAAAAGAAAATTAATGAAATTTAATATGAATTTTAATCGGAAAGAATATTTCAAAATGTATGCAATTATACAGAATACTAAAGCATAAAAGTTCATATATAATTTTAAGACGTGAAAAACCTAACATGAATGTAAGAAATAAAGAAACCAATGTGAGAACCTAAAATCTCTTTTTTTGGAGTAAAATGTGATTTTATATAATCTACATTTTTCTTCTTAAATACAAGTATACAAAAATATAAATATACAAGTATACAAGTATACAAGTATACAAGTATATAAGAAATTTCTGTTTCTCGTGCTATTCTCGTTATGCAACTTCAATGAGCTATTCAATTACTAGAATGTTAACCTTATAATTCTTAAATATTAAATATACTCCATCCTCGTTATTTGCGATAGCGCCCCGATGAGTGTACAAACATACAGCGTAAGAATTAATGTACAAATGAATAATTATTACTTATACTATCATCTTAAAATAAACGTCGGTTTACATCTAAATAAAAAGAACCTAATATCATATGCGAGAACGAATGGCACTGTGAATCCTCACTTAATAAAGTTAATTCCTTCGAACTATACAAAATTCCAGTTGAAGGACCTATTTTCGATTAATTAAAAATACAACTAAAAGCTTTCGTTCCTTCGTAAAATCGATACAATGGCACAGAGAGTAAGTTGTTAACTACGAAACCTCCGATTACATTACACTTTCGATCTAGGTACAATATTCTCTTTCATACAACACACATTCTTTCTTTCCCTCTCTCTTTGCTTGAATTTCTTAACAATTACCGTAAATTACATTGTTTCTATTTACAGCGTGATATACATACAGATCGTTTCTCTATAAAAGTCGTTTCGCGGTGCGTTTCATTTTATTTGTTTTTTTCCTTTTTTTTTTTTTTGTTGCGTGTATTCGAGATACAAAACCGCTGTAACTTCGTTGAGATCGATCGATTTCCTGTTTTCTTAGAAATACACGGTTAACCATCGATCATAATGAATCCCGATTTCAATCAGTTTAGATAGAAATTAAGCGTTCGATCCACATAGTTTTTGTTTTCTTTCCCTTCCTTTTTTTAATTTACTTTTTTGGTTCATTTTTTATTTTTCTTACGGTACTAATTAGAGATTGATGTTATTCTAGGAAGATCGATCGATCGTCGATTCGTGTCGTTCGATCGTGTTGTGTTCGTTCGTCCATCGATTACAATATTGATCCTCTGATCGCTGACTGTTCGTTCCGGTGCACTGAGCTTTAATCGAAAGAAATCTAAATAATACTACCGACTAATAATGTAAATGTCTTCATTGTAGATGACGATGATGTTATGCGTCGCTCAAATACTTAATTATAAAATTTTCATTAATGTTTAGAAAGAATTATAATTTTGAAGTTATTTCTAAATATAATCTGCTAAAACATAATAATGTGTCCATAGTAAAAATTCATAAGCCATATTTGTAAAGTTCATGTTAGATTTAAAGCACCTTCTAATTATTCATAAAATTTATAGACGAATTCGTAAGAAAATACTAACATATAAATTTATATTTTGAGCCACACATAATTTTGTATCCTTTTATTCTTTCTTTCCAACAAGAGAAATATGCTACAAGTTCGTACTAGAAAAATTATTATCAAGAACATTACGCTATCAACATTTGTCCCTATCACATGAATCATCTTTAAGTGTGACAATGTCGGTAGCATAGTCCGGTTTGAGAAAAATCTAAGAAAATCTGGTTAACAAGAAAGGACCCGTATTTCATTTTCTCATCGACTAGGCAGTGATATATATTTTTCAGACAGTCTTCTCGATCTTTCGACAAGGAGAAATGATCTTTCGAATGGAAAAAGTTGCGATTGTTTATTGCTGTATAGAGATGGCGCAGATATGTATTGTTTTTTCTTTTAAAGAAGTGTGTGCGTGATTTTCGTTAGAAAAACTTGATTCTTGAATAACAAATTATTGTACGTACACATAGGATACTGATCCGCCTTTTTTGCAGATTTATTATTATTGTTATTACTATTCCATAGGCAGTGATACTCCTTTTTCATTTTCATGAAATTCTTACTAAAATATTTCAATCTTGATCTACTAATGGAAATAATTCATGCAGAAAATTTGTATGATATAGAATTCTAATTATTGGCTTTAAAAATAGAAGAAATGATAAAAAAATTCTTTGTGCCGTTAAATTATAATTGCAATTTATATATATATTTATTTTCTTTTTCATTATCGAGCTTTCTCATGTAGAAAACTGAAACATATCAGAATTCAATCGCAAATTAAATAATTATTCCCACACAGCACACGAAGTATAAGTTTGTCCAAATTTTTCGACTTAAAGATGTCTATACAAATAGCTATTATTGTAATATAAGTATTATTAATATAATTATTCTTCTCACTAAGATAAAATAAATAAATATGTCAGTATCTTGAAAAGTTTAGTATAAGATGATAATCTCTTTAAGGCGCTAAAGGATATCTTTGAGATATTTGAAAATGACATTATTAGATTTCTTTAAAACATCCATAAAGCTTCTCTGTGCTGTCTGGGTTGAGTTCTAAACTATAGACCAGAATAAATCTTTTTCCGGTATCGATTGTTACTTTCTTCCTTTTCCCCCACTTCACACAATTCTTTTTACTCAATTCCGATATCAAAATCTACTTACAATCATAATCATCTTACACGACGACATTGCAGATATTCACTTCCGATATCGATCGCAAAAACGGATGCTGCCCGCGTAAAAACGATCTATTTCCGTCATTTATATTCAACGTATTTACTTATACCTCCTAATCGATAATCCAGCCTTTTATAATCGCAGTTTCTTATCAAAAACAGTACTATTTTCAATAACATCATCTTCAACAAACAATAAGGGTTTTCTTTTTTTAATATCCCTGTCCTCGATCGGTGTCTGAAGGAATCTTCACTCAAATGAATTTTTATTTCTAACAGAGCTTCTCATTAGAATTTCCATAGAAATAGGTGAAACTCTCAGTACACCGACGTCGTATTTACAACGCTCTCGTTAAAGTTCCCACCTCAGTGGCCAAGCTCTCGTTCGCTTCCGGTGTCGGGCAGCGGCACGCGTAGAACAATTCCACGGCGAAAGATAACAAGTTTGTCCACTCCCAACGCTCAGCATCCAACTAAATTTCCATCTGTTTCATGAGGTTGATCTGCACGAATCAAATACCGTCAATTCCGGTATTAAAAGCGCACGAACCATAAATATTCCTTGAAAACACCAATTGAAATAATCTTCAAGGAAACTGTGGTACGATTCTATTCTCTTCTGATTTCTCTCTCGTGGAAATCGAATTTTTCATCAAATTTCCCGGTTTCTTTTGAAAGTTCAATATTGGAGAAGAAAGAAATGTGCCACCACGTGCTCGTTTCCGGTACCAAGACGAAGGCCTCCTTGATTTTCGCTCGAAGAAACAACGATTCCAATCGACGACGAGTTAGCGTTCGTTAGTATGGAACGCCTGCTTTTTACAGCGGCTTCGTTCGCTGTTCCATAGAAAATCGGTCTCTCGATTAAAAGCAGTACTTCCGCGTGCTCACTTCTGGTACCGGGCTCAAGGACGGGGGCCGTCCCTCGCGCGGGACACCCCCTTCCTCCTGTCAGCCGTAGTAATAGCTTTTCGTGCTCATGCTTCGTGGATTTTCTGGACGCAGAATCGTATGGAGGCTATCTGTGCCCACCATATGGTTACCTAGATCCACCCTGACACCTGTGTTGCCAGGGTAGTGTCCTGGCGCTGGGTGCATCGTGGTGGGCGACATTGGTATCCTGGTTTCCGCGTAGTAACGATCGCCATGGAGCCTCTCGGCTAGCTGAGTCTCTGGAATCCTGGAAAGAATTTAGTTAATTTAGAAATCTCGCTTTTTTTATTTGGTTTTATCTAAGTGTAGTAGTTGATTTATATGACGTATATTTAATTATTGAAAATATTAATTATATTGAAATTTTGATGAGGATATATCCATTATATATAATATGTATAGTATATATAAAACAGTTCGTTAACACTACAATTTAAACATCAGAATTCCAGAATTTCCATAATTGATAAAAATCTTTGACATGTAAAGAACATTATATTGAACGAATACATTGACTTATTTGAAAAAAGAATTAAATGGGTTAAACGAACCTTGTGTCTTGCATTGGGACTGGTACCGGCGTGGTAAGATCAATATCCGCGTCGATCTCCGAAATGTCATCAGTGAATCCATTTGGAAGCGCTTCGTTATTTGCATGGAATTTCGCATCTCTTTTTGCACGGTGACGACTGACAAGAAGTCGTCCAATTACCAAGCCCAGGAAAATTAAAATACCGGCTGTGACCGACACTATGATGTAGAGGTAGAACTTCTCTTGATTTTCTGTATAAAACGAATCAAGTAAAATATAATAATGATACAGTTTAAGTATTTAACTAAAATTGAAATAAATTATAGGAGATTCGGGAAGGTTCAAGTCGCATGCAAATTTGCTAAAAATTCTGTCTACTGTTCTAAATGCAATGCCAAACACAAATGCGCAATTCTTTAGACTGCAAATCTCATAAATAAATCGCTGTTTCGAGCAATAAAATGCACTACTGTGTTTTTCTACTATGGTCTCCAACTATCCTTCGCTTTTCTACGTGATGCAAATAAATACACTAAATCTTTTCATTATTATTTAATCTCTTATTTGAAATACCATAAAAATAATACCTTCTTAACATTGTTTAACATATACCATATGGTACAAAAGGAAGTAATATTATCGATAGTCAGTATAAAGGATTATTGCCTAATTCAGATATAGTAAATTATCAATCGCAAGTAATATCCCGATAATTAACTATTCTTCCAACATCTGATAAGAACGAATTCTCCCTATACCGACATCTTCCCACATAGTATCTTTCAATCGTCGATAAAGTTGAGTGGGGAAACAAAATTCAGTGAGTGGAACCGATAAAGTAGACTTACCGACAGATCGAACGAGAAAAAGGGTTCAAAGTGTACCTCGATACTTACTCGATATAAACGAATAGGCATTGATCCATTCATTGATATATCCGACAACGACACGATCCTCTTCCGGAAAGGCGTAGACTACCGTGGTGCAATTAATCGGTGACATCGTACTGCTGGTAGAAACATCAGCCACATTGTTGTCGAACATAATCATCCCTTGCATAACTGTAGGTGTTAGGGGCGACTCTTTCGCTCCTATACCAACCGACTTAAACTTGTTCGTTCGTGTGTCCACTGTGTATACGCGAGAAATATATGAATAGAGGAGATTGGTCCAGAAGAAATAAAAAGAAGGGAGAGAAAACAATGCACAAGTAAGTGCCAATAAGTTATATCGACCATTCCTCGTATGGTTATTTACAAGAAGCCGACAATCTAGCTGAATCTTTACGCAAATGCGATAGAAATAATATCAAAAAAAATTAAATACAGCGCACATTTTTTAATAACATAATATTTTATTAAAAATATTTATAAAATACTCATAAAATTTTATAAATATTTATATTTTATTTAAAACATTATATGCTGCAATCAGTATTTACATATGATTATCAGATTCGATTTCGCGAATAATACTGAAATGAAATTTAATACAAAGGTAATCGAATCGCGGTTAATTTATTTTACAGATAGCGTATTTCTTGGCAAGGCAACTGTGATTTATTCGCAGGTACGGATTATTTACATGAGTATTGGGAATAACATGATGTATAATGTAATCCTCCACCAAATTGTAATTGCGTCGTATTATTATGCATGTTGCGATCAATGCGAGTATACAAGGGTGCTGCGTAAGTGATAGAGCATACGTTGAAAATTTGTTATCAGAGAAAATATCGAGAAAAGTATACAGGATGAATTTACAAATTGGAAGCTGTACATTAAATAAAAGCTGAATTTTATTCAGGACACAACTCAATTTGATTTATTTAAAATTGTTTTTATAGTGTACATCATTTAATAAATATTAAATGAAGTTCATGTGGCAGTTTCTGACGATACTTCAACGCGGTTATTGATTTCGGAACTAAACTCAATAGATTTTCTGCTTATGTGTGCATATTGAGTTCTGTAATCAGGATAGTTTATATTTAATTTTCCGCTAGTTAAGATGAGTTAAAATTTTTAATTGGAATTTTCAATAATAATTTCGTCCTTTTTTCCCTTTTTTATATATTTCATGAAATAGTTGATTTCTGAATTTATTTTCTGGATGTTCCAAAAAAAAACTAGACTCATTCATATACATGTCTGTAATAAACTGAATAGAATCTCATGTATTACTTTAATACAAATTCTCAAAAAGAAATTACATATTCACCAACATACTACATATTGAATAAAATACTAATTCTATGCAAGTTAAGTATTGTCTTTAATGTATTATAAAATTGTATATTATAAATTGTTTATAATACCATATAATATAATTGTTTATACTGCCATATAAATTCTCTGATAAATATGTATAGTATAAATCCTCCTATCCAAACTACTTTTTTCAAAGAATCAAACATATAAAATATATAAAACCATATCCATCCCACTATTTCGATACTCCGACCTAAAAATTCAGCAACCTTTAACAAAACATAGATCGCAAAACATAGAAGTGGTATCTTTAATACTAAAAAATCCTCTCGATTATAAAGTTTAACAATCTTAAAGATGTCAAAAGTTGGACAGACATTAAACAAAGTTCGTTCGGTGTCTTTGTTGGACAATCGGAACTGGCCCGTAAAACGCGACGGGTTTTCCCTGACATGATGGGTTGAAATAACGGTGAACGAGAGTCCGGCGCGCGGGGGGTCTGTCGATAACCCGTTCGACGTGTCGTTCACCCCGTGTTTTTCACGGATCGATGGTCCGGTAAAGGAGATACTGATACTCCGCGCTTTCGACAGGTTTTCAGTGCTCAGACAGGCCGCGAACGGATATTTTTCAGAGAAGCCTCACGCTTCGTGAATGCCAATGGGAATGGAAATTCGAAGTTCGCGTATTATACATCAGCACACGGCACGGGGGCTTTGTCACTCGCGCCGCAGGAATACGTGACATACACGTGGATTTCTTGATCGGTATGCATTGTGTCTAGGTAAGAACATCTACGAAGACGGCACGGCATCTCTACGTTCCTATCGGCAAGCGTCAAATTCGGGAGGTCGTGATTGTCGTGAGAATGATCCGGAAGCAGTGCGTGTTAAGTTATGCTTCGAATGCTCAAGATAAAATGTTTCTTTTTAAAAGAAAGATCTATGTTATATTTAATATGCGATCTATGTATCTAAATATGTGAACTTGAAAAATGAAAAGCAAATTGAACAATCGAATGTAAATTGACTTTTGGATATGGTACTAAGTATTATTTTATCTATCATTGCGAAACAGTCGCGGAAACTATATCTTTATTAATTTTTTGTGTCGTTTTTATTTTTCTTTGTTCAACTTAAAGTATTTCTTGATGGAACTTTACTTACATGGCAAAAGTAAAAAATTATAGATATAATTCCTCGATTAAGAAAAATAGAAAAGAACAGCGACTTGAATTGATTTCTTCCAATAATAAATATTGTGTAAAAGAATTGAAATGATGCCTGTTTTGCAATCGTATAATAGTCTGCAGCTATTTGCTGATTGATTTATAAAGGAATATGATTAGCGAAGATGAAAAATAAATAATTAAAAAGATGCAATTAATTCTAAATTCTAAATTACTAAATTTGAAAAGAAAATTTGAAAATATAAGAAATATGTGGATTTTTCGTTCCCACTATTAAATCACTTTCAATGTTCTAATAATCGAATGAAATTACACTAAAGCTCTTTAAACGTACGTATAAATAATGAACCGCAAACTTACGATCTTTACAAGCGACGAATCTGACGCCTCCTTTTATTTGATTTAGAAAACCGAGGCACTTTGTCGCGATTCTTCGTCAGACCGTTTCGAGGACACTGATTTACGCAAACGAGGTCTCTGTGCAGCGCTATTCTGTCGACGCGAGAAAATTTTAATGAGAATCAGCGAATAACCTACCGCGACATTTTGAATCGTCATCGATATGGTGAAGAAACCTGAACCGAGCGTATACGTTTCGTTCACGATATTGATAGAATCAATATTTTTTCATGCTTTTGAACAATTAAATTGCGTTAAGCGCTATTTTTACACCGTGTAATATATTCTCTTTGCATTGTATTTTAAAAGCGAATTCTTTTGTTTTTTCAGATCACATTGCGATAAGAAGAAGAAAAATAAATGTTACTCAGGACATTTTCAGTAGATTCTTAATAAGAATAAAGAAAATATTCCATTTCCTCTAAAAAGTTTAGTGAAGTTAGTGGAAGCTCATAGTTTCATATTATATATATCTGAATTTAAACAGTTAAATCCAGAAATTTCACTAGAATTCATACCTGTTTGCGATCAGACGATATTTTGAAATTTCGAGATTTCTAATTAGCAACTTCAAGAGACATTTAAGTCTTACTTGAAAATACATCCGTGTCCTATGTTTCTATTTAACAATTAAATTAATAAATTTCAATAAAATCACTAAATATCATTTTCAATGAAACTGGTAACATTGGAAGTTTTATTAAAAATTTAGTGATTTCATCTGTGCAACCACTTAATAAATTGTTTAATAGAAACATGTTTTACTTAATTTGAAAATTATACTATTACCGCACATCACTTCCCTTCGTGCTTGGAGCATCCAAAACTGAGAAAATTTTGAGAGAAATTCTACGAAATCCCTGTACATTGCAATCATCCATTTTCATTGCAGTTTATCTGTCTCCCGTCCACGAGTAGTTGAATATTTTGATATTTGCGGATTTCGCATAAATACCTACCTTAGTTTCTTTTATGGATTTATTATATTGTCCTATAATCCTATTACCATTTTCGGCCAATATTAAGCAATATTTATTATAGCAAATAATATTGATAGAATTATTATAGAGATAGGTAAGAGAAAACGTACATGTAGGAATCATATGAGGTGATAAAATCACCTCATGAGGAATCATCAAGGTGATAAAAATGTATGAGTGCTAAGATGATAAAAAAGAAGTTTCAGATGATTTTATTCTCCGTCTGTTACTTCTTCGCTGTGCTATCTTGATATGTTCATTTCTTATAAAGTTTAGTATATATTTCTATACTTTTAGGTGGGCATCAACCATTTGAGATTGATAATCATGAGATCAGAGCCATGCATGCGTGCTGATGATTTCAGTCTATTTACGTTTTCGGTTACCGATTTGTACAGTAACTTTATCAACATTGTTTATTAATAAATATTTCTTATTTAATCCAAGAATAATATCAAGATTATAGGATAACATAATAAATTCATTAAAAAAAATAAGTCATAAGATGTTTATGCAAAAGCCGCAAATACGTAAGTATTCGAATACGTACGCAGAGAAGAGTATATAGACATATTACTTTCACTCACTTCTATTTAAAGTTTCCCAGATCCAAACTTATACACGAGAAACAGTTCTTTAACTGACACGCGATCAGCTTCGAAACTAAAATATTTGCTACTTTTTTCGCACAAAGAGTTCCGGAGACTGATCTTTCGACGCGACCACGACACACGTGAAACTATTCCGGTGACATACAGTAAGCAAACATTTAAAACGCGAACGCTATCAGCACTTCTCGTGATTTGCACAAGCGGCCAGATAATGTCGGTGTTTCGAATGTATTCTCAAATATTTGGTTATGTAACTGGGCTGGTGCGATAATCAGTGTCTAACTACAAGGTTTCGGACAGTCATTATTTAGCTTTTGTATGTTATAACTCATAACGTAAAGTTGAAGAAGGAATAATATGCATTATATATTACATATTAATTTTATAAAAGAATTGAAATGGTAAAAAAGTAAAAAGCAATTTTTTTTTAGTGAGAAAGAATTTAAGTATTTTGGGAGGAGTTATAAATGTTGTATGGAATATTTAACTTATTTTAGTTTTTTAAGACTGTACCAAGATAACGCTATAGAAAAATGATAATATAAATAAACAAATCTGAATGACTCGATAAATTTTTTACCATTTATTTTGCGATGATATCTATAATTAATGTCGTAGATAATATAACAAAATTACTCTTCATTTTTATTCCTTGGAATTGCATTTCTCTAATCTTTTTCCCAATATAATTTTATTTACTTGAACAAACGACAACATGAAGAAAGAACGTTGGGAATAGAA